GCATGAAGGAAAGTTTTTTTGATATTTTTATTTTCATGTTCTTTTTATTACTTTAAGATCATATTATAAATTGATATCAGAAAACCAACCGTATAACGTTGACTTAAATCTATATCTACTACGATATTATATCAGCGTATCGTTTCAAATCTCAAATATCATGAATCGAGAAAATCTACTAGCATCCATCAATATATAGGTTCAGAAAATATATAGATTCAATATCCGATATTGATCCTCGATATATAGATACGATTCGATGCGCGGCAAAACCGATATTACCCACTCCTAATTTGATGCCGAAAGACTCAACCAATGATTTTAACTGATGATGTTAATTGAGACAAAATGCAGAATTTAAGGTATGTGTACTGTAAAAAGTACAAAGAAAACCAACTTGTGGATCGGAATAGTGTGAAGAATTAAAGTTGGAATATTATCCCTGTAGATAACCAAAATACAATTTGTGTGATCTTCAATCCGCAAGAATTCAAATTCGTTTGCAAATTCACTTGGAACCAATTTAATCAAAATCAATGACATTAATATCCCACTGAATTTTCATCATTGATTCATTTCTGTTTCATGTGATTTCTGAATTTACGTCCGTATCTATACTAATATTATAAAGCTGAAGAGTTTGTTTGTTTGAACGCGCTAATCTCAGAAACTACTGGTCCGATTAGAAAAATTCTTTCAGTGTTAGATAGCCCATTTATCGAGGAAGGCTATAGGCTATATAACATATAGCTACAATAAAGAATATTTCAAAAACGGGGTTATTTTTACTTTTTGAGAGCTTCCGCTGCGTGCGCTGCAGAAACGATTAAAGTTTCGCTAAAATAATGTATGACAGAATTGTTCCCTTTTAAAAAATCTAAAAAAATGTCCGCGACAGCATGTATGTTAAGGTTGGCTAACTATAACTTTATTTATGCTAACCAAATTTGTTCTAAAATAAAGAATTATTTGTGAACTATTCCACGCGGACGAAGTCGCGGGCAAAAACTAGTATATTATAAACTATTGGTTTGTATCGCATAAAAGAAATGTATTTTTGTCCATATATTTCATATGAAACAATTACTGATACGTACCTGGTTGAGGGAAGTTTTTTCTGGAATTGCAACTTGATACGTTGAGGTACTCTAACTTATGACACGTTTGGCCGATCTGCTTGAGCACTGCATTAGTAATGTGTATGTTTCTGCTCAAGTTCAATCTCCGTAGCTCGGTGAGACCGGTGAGGGCTTCACAGAATTCATCACTGCTCTGGGTCGTGAAGCACACCTCGCTCGACATGTACTCGCTCAGAGACAGCTCCTCGAGTTTGGATAGGGTCTTTAAGATCATGGGTACGATTTTCCACATGGCCGCTGGGCACAGGTCCAGCTTTAAGGTGGTCAGGTTCGGAAGGGAGTCCATGGCGGCGCTTAGGACCGTCCCCTGCAGGCTGTAACAGTTGTAGAAGGACAGCGAGCTCAGCTGCGGCGGGGCGGCGCCCGTGAGGAACAGTCCCGTCACGTGCGTGTTGTTGGCCACGGTGATCTTCTCGATGCACGAGTCCACGTGCGCCAGATGCACCAGGCTCGAGTCCGTCAGCTGCAACACGTTCAAGATGTCAGTGTTCGAACATGGTTTTTTTTCCTACCTAAGCTGATAACCTTGAGAGGCTATATCAGCGTCGCCTTAACTAGTAGGTGAGTTCACGGGACTCAAACCTGATGACGTTGCTAACACGAACCCTAGCAAGAGCAGTGCTTCGCAGAATCTACCACCGGATCGGAAACGCGACCCACTGAGAAGATCCGGCGAGAAACTCAGTGGGCTGTCTGTGTCTGACTGAGGGTTCGAACATAGAAAATACACCTTACTCATTCAACTACTTAAGTACAATTTTGTATATTACATTTTCTCTTTAATTTTGTTAGCTAGCTTTGACCCGGCAAACTTCGTAGTGCCTCAATCGATAAATAAAAGACCTAAACTTTTGTATAAAATAAACTTAAAACAAACAAAAGGAATCCGTCCAACATTAAAGAAAAAATAAAATTTGTTTGTTTTTATGTAATTCTGAGCTTTTTAATATTTATCTCTACCTTTTAAACCTTCTCTGGACTTCCACAAATAATTCAAGACCAAAATTAGCCAAATTGGTCCAGCCGTTCTTGAGTTTTCGCGAGACTAACGAACAGCAATTCATTTTTATATATATAGATAGATAGATTTAGGTGTTCATTTTATAAATTCATGTTTATAATTACCTTGTTGCAAGAAATAAATGATAAATTCTTCAGTTTTTTACATCCGTACAGAAGGGGGTTCCAATTTTTTGTATGCATACCGACGATCTGAAACATAACAGAGACATAGTCTGTATAGCGCATAATTAACAGAAAGTTTAAGTTATACATAAACGAGTAATTCACTTTTAGAACATTAAAACTTATATTCTTTAAAAACTATATTGCACCTATCTGTACTATAATATTATGTCTCTTTTATAACATATTAAAATTTACATATTTATTATTATATATTATTATATTGAATTACCAATTATAATTTTACATTAATCAAATTATATATAAATCAGTACAGGCGAGGTTCTGATTTGGCATAATTTATGCTTAATAGGTAGCATGAGACATTGCTAAACATATAAAATAAAGATTTTTTTTTACACACAGAGGATAAGTCGTCTTGGGCATTCATATCTAGCGTTGAACCGGTGTTCGAATCCCGCCGAATTTTACAATTATTTACGTATTTAACAAATGTTCACGATTGACTTCCACGGTAAGGAATAACTTGGTGTAATAAAAAAATCAAACCCGCAAAATTATAATTTGCGTGATTACTGGTAGTGGGACTTTTTGTGAGTCCGCACGGGTAGGTACCACCATCCCGCCTATTTCTGCCGTGAAGCAGTAATGCGTTTCGGTTTGAAGGGTGGGGTAGCCGTTGTAACTATACTGAGACCTTAGAACTTATATCTCGAGGTGTGTGGCAGCATTTATGTTGTATATGTCTACGGGCTCCGATAACCACTTAAGTAGGTGGGCTGTGAGTTCGTCGGCGTATATGCAATAAATAAATAAAACAATAAGGCGTGGATATATTGAACTGGTAATATTAATAACTAGCGGCCCTCTACGACTCCGCTCGGGTCTTTAACAAAAAGGACAATGCCCAAAAGTGGGCCAACTTTATGTCAAAACTATTTGTACTTGAAAAACTATGCCTTATTTTTTCACGTTGTTTAATTTATGTATCAACATTTCTTTCAACCTGGCATTGTTTTACAAGAAAATAAATTACTTATTTGATAACATCCTAAAACTGAGTGCCATAGTTTTTAAATTCGCCAAAAGGCAAAGGGCTTAGCCCATACAGCCTTATAGTAAACCTATATGCTGCCAAACGAAAGAGTTGTCTGTGACTTGAACAACAAATAAAAAAAATTAGCTAATGGTTATAATTCACAGAATTTTTTGTTTATTGTTGTTCAATTCAATATTTATTTAATGTAATAATAATTATTTCTTAAAACCATGAATTATCTAATATTTTTAGTTATTAATGATTCCATTAGTAAAAATCTCAATGGAGTACCATTACTCTATTCTTATTATATATGATCAGAGAGTTTTGGCAGCAACCCGAGTGAAGCGTCACTTGAAGTTTTATTTTAATGTTTTTTTAATAGTTTATTGCGATGTATAATATATAAATTGGGTGTTGTTTTGTGTATTAAACGTCAATAATCGGTGTTCACGATTATTGAGGCATTGGAATGTGTGTAACTGTGGCTAACATAGCAGTGACGGTTTTTTTTTTCAAGATAAAGGTCTGAGGAAATTCACGCTCACTCAATGTGCTATTCATCGAGTTAACGTCAAAACCCCCAAAAGCAATAAAAAAAGATACACCGGCTTTTTATTGACTAAAAAAAATATAACTACGACAGATTAGACTGTATAGGCTACGTTCTTTGCCTGCTTATTGGCGAATTTAAAAGCAACAACAACAATATCGTTGCCGGCTTCCGGATTTCATTTCATTTTATTATTATTATGAGAATATAATAATAATAAAATGTACGTAAGGGCTTATTTCTAGTAACATTAACCACAATTAACTTATTTAATACTATAAATAATGATGAGAGCAATTATTGATTTCGATGAAAACAATTAACTACTTAATTTTAGCTGCTGAAAAAAACAGATTTCTCTCAAACCTGGGTGAGAATATAATAATCGTTTTCTGAATATGAAACGATATTTCTTTGTCTCTCAAATTGAGTTAAAACCATCATGACACGACAACTTTTTTTAGGGGCCCAAACGCCCATAGAAAATGGGCATTGTCCTTTCAAGGATATTTGACGTTGTTTTTTTTATTTTTTTAAATAAAAGAACATTTATTGCGGCATAACTATAATAGTAAGAAATATGCTGTCGCGACACTTTGTAAATAATAATGTGTTCTACAAAGTTGTAGTTCATTATTTTATTCTATCATCAATAGTTTTCGCAGGGCACGCGATGTAAAGAATATTTTATGTATTTTTTTTTACACTTCGGGTTACATTATTGGATTTTTAGTAAGGATCCTTAATTTTTTTCAAAAAGGATTATAGCCTATGTCACTCTGGAATAGCGTAGCTTTCAAACAGTGGAATAATTTTTCAAATCGGTTCTGTAGTTTCGGAGCCTATTCAATACAAACAAATCTTTCCTCTTTATAATGTAACTAGCGACCCGGCCTCGCTTCGCTTCGGAAACTGTAATTTATTATTGATTTCTCCACTATTTAATGGATGTTATTATACATATAAACCTTTCTCTTCAATCACTCTATTTATAAAAAAAAAAGCATCAATATCCGTTGCGTAGTTTTAATGATTTAAGCATACATAGGGATATAGGGATAGAGAAAGCGACTTGTTTTATACTATGTAGTGATTTGTATAGATGTAATATGTATTAGTATAGACAAAATTATTAAAGAGTATAGGTAATATTGTTGTAGACCGTAAGACACACCTTGAGCTCCTCGAGCTTGGGACAGAACCTGGCGATGGAGTGCGCGGTGCGGTCGTTGAGCGCCGACCAGTGGTGGTCGATGTGCAGCGCCAGCAGCGAGTCGCCCACGCGCGCCAGCACCCGCCGCAGCACCGCCGTCGTCAGCCGAGCCGCCTCCGCCTGCCACCACGACGTCTTCAGCACGCGCACGCCTGCACTCCCCACACACACCCCCGTCTTATTAGATCTTAGAACTTATATCTCAAGTTGGGTGGCGCATTTACGTTGTGGATGTCTATGGGCTCCAGTAACCACTTAACACCAGGTGGGCTGTGAGCTCGTCCATCCATCTAAGCAAAAAAAAATTTATTACTACTTCCAACTCATACCTTTTTTTTTTTATTGCTTACACGCACACAGCGTATTCAGCTACCTCGCAATCTCATTAGACCCGACCGACATACGCATAAAACCACCGGATTCCATCCACTAAACATATTTGTCTGTTTAAAATATTACTAAAATTCATCTTAAATCAAACAAAAAAATGTATTACATTTAGCTTTTTTTTTATTGCTTACATGGGTGGACGAGCTCACAAGCCCACCTGGTGTTAAGTGGTTACTAGAGCCCATAGAGATCTACAACGTAAATGAGCCACCCTTCTTGAGATATAAGTTCTAATGTCTCAGTATAGTTTACAACGGCTGCCCCACCCTTCAAACCGAAACGCGTTACTGCTTCACGGCAGAAATAGGCAGGGTGGTGGCATGTAACTGTGCGGACTCAGAAGAGGTCCTACCACCACCAGTAATTACGCAAATTATAATTTTGCGGGTATTTTGATTTTTATTACATGATGCTATTCCTTCACCGTGGAAGTCAATCGTAAACATTTGTTAAGTACGTATTTCATTAGGAAAATTGGTACCCGCCTGCGAGATTCGAACACAGGTGCATCGCTACATACGAATGCACCGGACGTCTTATCTTTTAGGCCACGACGACTTCAGCTTTATAGTTCACTTCTATCTATCTATCAGCCCACAGACGTCCACTGCTGGACAAAAGCCTTCCCACAACGACCTCAATAGTTCATCGGTCCACCTTGTGTGAGGGCTACCTACGCTACGTCTTTCGATACTAGGTCGCCAATCGAAAACTTTTTGGCCTCAGCGGCCATCAGCCACAGAGTTCACATTTAGTGTTAAATATTAAGTGAACAGAACAACGCGCCCCTATTGTCTACTATTACACAAATTAATGACCTCTACTGTTTTCATTTTCATTTACACAATGTAAGTCCTTAACAATGAACGACGCTTATAATTGTTGTTATGTGCTTACTAAGTATGAAATAGTACCCAATGCAGGATATGTAATGTGATCACTATAATTAATTTTATTATGTATACATGAGTCGTCTTATCAAAGACGGCAATCTGTGCATTAGGACAAAAAAAAATTATTGATATGTCAATACAGATTGATTTGAATATAATCGTCTCCTTCAAAGAATACGGTTCAAAATCTGCATTAAATAAAGGTTAATACTTAACCTGTTATTTATCTAAGATGTCGTTCAGAAGAGTTTTGTGACTGCCAATGGAATACAAAGTCAATAATTCGTTTTTCTGATTTATCAATAATTGTCCAAAAGTCACATTGCCGGCTTTGATAATAGTCGACTCACATAATCCATTACACCAGATTTCTTACACAACAGGTTGCAAGCCCAGCATTGATAATGCTGCAGAGAGCTAGCAGTGTTTTTATTAGTAGATAGAACACCAAACCTTAATGAAGCCAAACTATGAAACATTCAATTAATGCTTCAATTTTATTTATAAAGTATAATAACAATTGGTTAGGTATATCCTGCTAATTTTAAATAGACATGTCTTTGTTATTTCTGAGTCAATTTTATTATAAAAACGAGAACTTGTTTAATGTTTCAATATTTGTATCCAATTTTGCATTAGTTTTTAAATAAAAATTAATGAGTAATGTCTTATCACCTGCTAAATATTCTTGGACCATAATCTGCCAACCTTTACTGACCCTTTCAGATAATATTATGTCCCTAATAGGGATATAATTTAGGATATGCGTCAAACAATCTCTATTTAACACATCTAATATGGTGCAACTCTTCACATCTTCTTCATCCTACAAACAAAATACAATATAAGTAACATGAGTGTACTAAAGTAATAAAAATCATCATGTAAACTGTATTGAATATCTTTGCTTAGCTTAAAATCAATCAATATTGATGATACAACAAAACTGATGTAGTAATATGTATAAAACACAGTAGCGCTAAAAAACACATATGAATACTTCGATCAATAATATTTATTGAAGTATGAATATGAGAATTTCACAACAAACTGTTTCTTGAGCTCCATGGAAAACAATTAAGTGCTCGTAGCGGGGTTTAGTAATTAATTTATGTTCAGATTTCCAGATAACCTACATACCGTGTATATTGTAAAAAAAAATATACAATTTACTTACTGATGATTCTGATGAATCTAAAGTGGCAACGGTGGACATTTTGGTGCTTGTACCTGCTAAAATTATATCCATTATAACTTATGTTGTTTGTCTGACATCAAATCCTTTAATTAAAAATAATTAAAAGTAATAAAATTAAAGATAATTAAAGAATTGGATTTTAAATTTCTGTTTTGTGAAGGTAGTAGTAGAATAATACCTTCATCTAAATCTTTGGACCTAGAGCGTGATCGAACATTAGTACGTGAAAAACGTGGTTTCCAGCAGACCCGACCATCTGCATCCTCTACTGGCTGATGCCAACTGTCTGCTGGTGACGTATATAGGTTTCGACCCCTCAATATCTTTTCATGACTAGGTGCTTCAAGGGCTCTATAATAAAAATAATCAATTATCAATAAAATAATGTTGTTTGACATACTGAAAAAAATCTAACCTGAAATGATTGGTATTTAGAAAATAGATCAGATCATGGAAGCTCTGCTGATATTTTTATGTTAATCTCAAAGTTATTTTATTTTTAATCAGTTTGATTTCTGATTAAATGAATTCTTCGAAACAAATGAACAAAATTTACTTCACAGTTTCAAACTTGGATAAGAAGTATTGGAGTATGTTTTTTATTTCAGTGGAACAGTGAATTACAAGTAGAATATACAATAAAGCCTGTTGCACATTATGAGACATTGTTTTATGTTTTAGGAGTCAGTAACAAATTCAATTTTCATGTTTAAGTTACATGAATGATATTTCTTAAGTCAGATGGACTGAAGTTTTACTGGTGGTAGGGCATTTTGTGTGCCCATACAGATAGGTTTCACATATTAAAAATGGAGACAGAACTTATGTCTCAAAGTGAATTGGTTGCATTGAATTTGTTGATGTCTATCGGTCCAGTAACCACATTACACAAGGTGGGTCATGAGCTTGTCCACTCATCTACACAATAAAAAATGTTACTCTGCTCTTATCTTTAGGTGATTGTCCTGTATTGCAGATTTGGGAATAATTTGAGAACAGTTGTTCATGAATATATTATATACTTATTTAGTGTGCATATAACAATATTTAATGCAAAAACATTTATTTTTAAAATCATCTATCTATGATCTCTAATAATTTACCATTTTAAAAATACCTACTGATGAGCGTCTGCTGGATTACTAAAAGTTACAAATGCATATGTAGGTATTGGAGTTTTATTTGGCCCCTTGTCTCCCATTTTCAACCAGCAGCTTTTAATGAGACCATATTGGGCAAATACCCCATATAATTCAGTTCTGGTTGTCTGAAATAAAGAAAAATAATCATATAGTTTTGTATCTAATTAATCTTGATATTTATCATTTTTTTATTAATACATCTGAAGTAAAATTGCAAAAACACTGCCATTAAAGATTATTTTGCTAAAACTATTAGGCAGTAGTTCAATTACAGAGTAGACAAAGGTATACACATTGTAATGTCTGTAAGCTCCCACAACAGCTTAGCGTTGAATCAAATAAGTTGTGAGTTGCAAAACTATGCTCGTATCAAAAACGTAAAGGTTCACTCTTAAACTTTGGTAGGTTATAATAAAGACCAAAAATATATTTAATAATACCCATTCATTTTAAGACTTTTTACGCAGGACATATATGTATGCAAATAAATAAAGTGTGATTGGCAGCAAAAGCGCTTAGTTAAATAGAGAATACTTTACTTTCCTGTCATACATAAAAAAATATTAAGACCCTTTTAATGAAGTATATAAAAAAATTAAACAAAGATATATAATTAATTACTTTTAAAGATATCTTTAAATAAAATATTTTTTACAAACTAAAACTTGGATAAACTGAACTTTCAACAAAACAAACTGACACTTTGAATTTACCATAATCATTTTGTTTTGGGTTATATATTTTTTTAGCAAATAGGTTCTTTTACGATACACCTGTATTAAGAACAGTTTCGCCAGCATTTAAACACTTGGTAAATACCGTCATCAATTTCTACTTGAGTAAAGATACACTTGCTATGCCCACTTAGCATTGTAATAACGGCAAACAATTTTAAAGGTTTGGTTTTTATATCATAACAGTCCAGAGTTTTACCTTGGGTGGTAAGTTAGTAACGTAAAGCTTTCTAATCGGTATTCCATCTTCAGTTTTTGTGGGTACACTCCTAATCCCGTACGGAGCTAGTTCAAGATTTGAAATAGTGGCAACTGAAACAAAACCTACATGTAACATATAAAAATACACTTTAAAACAATACACCACTAACTGAGCCATGCAAATCATTTACAAACAAAACTCACTGCGAACGACATGAAGTAAATCTGGACTAAAATATCTCTCGTTGTCTTCCTCGTCGTTGTACATGATGGTATTCTTTTAATTCAAAAAGCTGTTATGTTTAAGATAAGTTTCGGTATTATAAAATGCACATGTTACATACAAAGAAAAACAACACGTAATTGTTAAATTTTGAAATCACTAAATATTTTTTCAATCTCAACACAAATCAGTATTTCAATGGGTATGTAGGGATTTAGGGATGCACATTCAAATTGTAGGTACGGTACCTAGAAGTCTCAAAAATTATGTGTATAATCTATGGGTAGTAGATTCAGTGTGACCATCTCTTAACTATAGATCATGCGTTACTTTAGTTAAAAACCTGCCAAAGTTTGTAGTAAAAATGCCTAATTAATGCCAACTTTATTAATCGTGGTAGTAAACCAAGAAAAGTAAAAATACTGGAGTTTTTGGCGGGAACTTAAAAGGGATATTGTACTATACACCTTTATTTTCTAACAATGTGCAAAATTACTCTAAAATGAACAATATTTGAAGTATATTGATGGTTTTTGAGTATTAGTTATGTGTTTATGTGAGAAATGTAAGCTGTGTAGTCACATGTTGTCTTACGACTTGTCAGAAGAACTCCGTTTCACGGTGTCGGTTGGTAGTCCACAGTTCAGCTGAGCTGTAGTAGACTTTGAAAATAAAGAAACTATAATATAATATGTATATGATTGAAAGACTTGATATGTATGTGTGGTCATGATTACATTAATATAATAAAAGTAGAAACACACATGCAGGGACGTATTAAACTAGGATGAGGCCCTTGGGCACACAAGAATTTGAGGCCCTTTTGGAAAGTAAAAAAAGCGAATTATAATAATAAAAAATTACTGAGTTTGAGACCATTTATTATAGGTAATCAAATACAGTATGATATAATATGTCATTAATGATATTAGAATGCTGCTGGTTTTTTGGCTACGATTTCGATAACGGTTTCTTTCGGGATTTCTGTTGAGCAAAATCTGCTATTATAAGCATAGTATATGCCTTGTAAATACCTTCTGATTATTGATTTGTGAAAAAAGTGTAATGTGCTCGACAAAAATGTTTTGAGAATAAACGTGTGAGAGAAATTGTCGGTCTTTCGAGGCCCCCTGAGAATGGGGGCCCTGGGCACGGGCCCCGTGTGCCCTTATGGTAAAGACGGTATTGCACACATGCAGTTATAACATATCTTTAATTAGTTTAAATGCAATGCAATCGTCATGCTCACCAATATCTTGTTTAGCATGCAAGATAGACGCTACAAGTTGGTTTATAAAACTGATGCGCGTTTTTGTTTTAATTAAATTTATTTGATAGAATATTCTTTCGCATGCAGTGTTAGACATTGGTAAACATAGCCTTTGCGGAATTTGCAATATTTATGTATTTTAAGTACCCACTGGAATTCCGTATTTTCCCGATAGCACCGCTAAAGTTGTCAACACTTAGAGCACAATTTGAATTACTGCTACCACCAGATTCTAATAAATCACTTACGTAGGTATAGGGGCCAGATAGGTTACTAATTTGCAGTTACAGGCATTACAAAAGGCTACTTCTGGATCATCTTTAGCTTTGGAGATCCACGATAAAAGTAAAGGATCTTGTTCCCACTCCGCTCTATTCGCCCCTTCATATTTTCGTCACCACCACCAAAAATAATAAGTATCGCCCAAGAAATGTCACTAACAAGATACTATCACCTTAAAATCTAAATCGAATCTATCTATAAGTATGTCTCTATGACTGAATTGAAATATAAACCGTAAGCTTGTTTATGTATACTTGTTTCAAGATTATCAACTTTCTGAGCAAAGCTTTAAATTAATTGAATGTGATACGAACACACCCCGAGAAGTATAGGGAAATCCCCTACATGCTCACGAAGTATCTTCAGGGTTATCATTTTTTACATTTTATTGAGTTGCGAGGAAATTTATTTTCTTTATCCCAATACTGCCAAAAACTGCCAGGTTTTATAAAGCGTTTGCCGATCATGCCAGAAGCTAAAATAAGAGTCCAATCTTGCCAAAATGGCAGGATCCTGCCACATATGGTCACACTGAGTAAATTAGTGTTTATCCTATGATCAAAATTGAAATGAATGGAAAGATCGAACTTTCAAAATCATGCGATATTCGATTTTCTAAAATCGATCCTTCTTCTGTACGTCTGTGTAATCGAAATCGAAACTGAATCGCATTCTCCTCTTTTTCATCCCAAACTATTCGCTGGTAGCCTAAGGGGCTATTCAGCTATGCTATGTCTAGTAGGTGAGCTCAGATGGTTCAACCTGAAAGAGCGTACTAACAGTGTTTCTAGCAAGAGCGGTGCTGTGAAGTATTAAGCGCCAGATGGGAATCGCGACCCGCTGAGAAGATCCGGCGAGAAACTCAGTGGGTTATGTCTATAGGCTAGTTCGCACACCATTCTCCTTAAATCAAGACAAGGAGTAAAATATCATATAAAATTGAAATCGTCGTGGCCTAAAGGATAATACGTCCGGTGCATTCGTGTTGAGCGATGCACCTGTGCTCGAATCCCAGGCGGGGGTACCAATTTTTCTAATGAATTACGTACTCAACAAATGCTCACGATTGACTTCCACGATGAAGGAATAACATCGTGTAATAAAAGTGAAACCCGCAAAATTATAATTTGCGTAATTACTGGTGGTAGGACGTCTTGTGAGTCCGCGCGGGTGGGTACCGCCGCCTTGCCTATTTCTGCCGTGAAGCAGTAATGCGTTTCGGTTTGAAGGGTGGGGCAGCCGTTGTAACTATACTGAGATCTTAAAACTTAAATCTGAAGGTGGGTGGCGCATTTACGCTGTAGTAACCACTTAACACCAGGTGGGCTGTGAGCTCGTCCACCCATCTAAGCAATAAAAAAAGCAATAAAAAAAAAGTGTATATATATATATATATAATTAAAATCAGGAGGTCAAAGCACAGTAAAAATACAAAAGACAAAGAAATGTTTTGAATCGTATCAAAAACATTATTACAATATTTTCAGGGAGTTCAGCTCACCGTTTAAAAAACATTTTTTTAAACAGGTCGCTGACTTCGTTGATGATGAGAAGCAGGTATAAATTTATAAAATCAAAGATAAATTTCCTTCTTGGAAGGAATAAATTATGTTAAATAGTATACTGGATACACTTATTGTAGTACACGTTCACTTTTAGAGATCCTGTCATTTCTGTTTTATATTTAATTGTACATAAAAATAAAGGTAGCTTTCATGTATAAAGGAGCAAGTATTTATTGTCGGGAACACGAAAACCATTCGCGTAACTTTACTTCTTTTATTTCCTATATTTCGACGATTTACGTTTTTTCAACTATAACTACAACATATTTATTACAAATATTTATGGTTTGGCATCTTTGAAAGGGCACATTGCTCGTAGAACAGATGGCCGCTGGGACCAAAAGTGTTCTCGACTGGCGACCGCGCACCGGAAGACGAAGCGTGAGTAAGCTTTCCACAAGGTGGACCAACGATATGTTGAAGGTCGCAGGAATCTGTCGGATGCGGGCAGCGCAGGTTCAGTCGTTGTTGAATGTTCTCATACAGTTTGTTCAATACAAAGTCAGGCTTACTGTTTTCACCAAAACGCCTGACTCGTTAACACAAAAACATTATTGAAATTATTAAGTACTATTATAATATTATGCTAAAAATGAGATTATTTTGGAATAAAGTATTCCCCAACTATCGGCAAATACATCAGCATCCTGGACTTCGGACAGAAATTCGTTTAACAGCGCAATTGCCCTGGCCGTTGGACAGTTCCTAGCTCTACGGGTCCTCAGCCCCGCCAACTCCAGTTATTGTAATCTAACCCAAAAAGTTAAGAGCTGTATGCTATTTTTGATGTCAACATAGGTTAAAGGTTAAGATGCCGGGTGTAGCTGAACGTGATTTAGTGTAAAAGTACAGCGTTTTTAAGCCTCTTTATGAGTGTCTTATGTACATGTATGTACAGTCTGATAAAAAAAGAAATTTTAAATCGCATAGAAAATTATGATACTGGTCATATTCTACTATACAGGGTGTCCCAGAAAGAATGGATAATCCTTGAACCCCACACGGGACAGCTCTCCAGCGCTCAGAAAAAAATATCTAAAAAAAATAATTCCAAATGATACCCAAAATATGATTTTTTTTAGAAAAACATACTTTATTTTTACTTTACTTCACATTCATGTGCACAACGGCCACAAAGTAATGAAATTTGTGGCGTTTTTGCTGTCATCTTACTCCTGATAGACTATACTACTAGAAATACATTAAATAATATAAGTATCTATGATACTTTTTTCAAAAACAAAATAAGAACTTGAGTTTTTGACATGAAATTTGATACCAAAATAATTTTGGCATAGTTTGAGAGTGATTCATATAAAAAAAAAGTATGAAAACGTAAGTGGCCAGCTATTTTAAAAAAGTGCGCAGTTCATACAGTTTACAAAATGGTATAATACATCTTTTTATCTAATACCACTATGAAGTTATTGCTATTAAGATGCAAAAAGAATAAACACGACTAAAGACAGAAAATTGTAAAATGATATTTTATCTTGTCTTAAACGGTAACATTGGCAATAGACAATAGCGATGATTACTATTTACTACCTGAGCGTGGCCCAAGCTCATATGTTGTTTACACGAGACAAGAATAGGTTGATTTGAATCAGTGTTATTATGACGACTTCTGGCTATTTATTGGACTACTCGTTTTACTTACTGATTTGCACTTTGTTTGGTGATTTTACGACGACTTGGCTTGTATTTGGATTGATTCAGTGAATCAAAATGCCGCGGATTCAATATACGGCACAAGAATACGCCAACATGCACTTCATCTATGGTGAGTGCAGGAGCAACGCAAGTGCTGCTGCAGCCCTTTATAGAGAAAGATATCCTAATGCGCGTCATCCAGATTACCGTGTATTCGTGAGAGTCCACAGATGTTATTCCGAAGGCAGAATACCTGGCAGTGGCATTGGTGGTACGACCTCCGGAAGACAAGCGAATATCAATACTCAAGACATTGTGCTTGACGAAATTCAGCAAGACCCGTCTACCTCTGTAAGAACAATATCACGGCGTACTGGAATCCCGAAAACGACCGTGCACCGTGTACTGAAAATAAATAAATATCATCCTTACCATATTAGACGCGTCCAAGCTCTGCAACCGAGAGATTACAATGCAAGATTGTTTTTTTGTCGACAAATGCTTGCAAAAATAGAAGAAGATCCACAATTCTTTGGAAAAATTCTATGGAGCGACGAATCTACTTTAAAAAAAGACGGATACTTTAATATGCATAATCTGCACAGCTGGCAACTTTCGAATCCAAATTTAATGCGAGAAGAGAGGTCGCAATACCAGTTCAAAGTAAATTATTGGACTGGTATATTAAGCGGGATAATTATTGGTCCTTTCGAACTGCCGGGAAATTTATCTTCTCATAGTTATTTAAATTTTTTGCAAAATGGTCTCCCGAACTTAATGGAAGAAGTGCCTGAGGAGGTAAGGGAATCCCATTGGCTACAGAATGATGGTTGCCCTGCACATTATGGTACAAACGTCCGTGCTTATTTAAATGCCACGTATCCAAATAAATGGATTGGTCGTTTGGGTCCCATTTTGTGGCCTCCTCGATCTGCGGATTTAAACCCACTGGACTTTTTTTACTGGAGCTGTCTAAAGGAAGAAGTGTACTCGAAAACAATTTCAAATTTGGAGGAATTACGCAGCCGTGTTCAAGAGGCCGTTTCAAAAATAAATGAACGACGCTATGCACCTTACCTTAGTAGAGCCTTTATTAGAAGATGTCGAGCGTGTATTAGAGTCGGTGGCAGACAATTTGAACACCTGTTGTGAATGAAGCTTGATTTATGTACACCCGATTTTATTATTATTATTAAAATTTATTAAGACATCTTTTCTTTTTTAGTCGTATTTACTCTTTTTGCATCTCAATAGCTTTTTTTTTCCTACCTAAGCTGATAACTTTGAGAGGCTATTTCAGCGGAACCTTAACTAGTAGGTGAGCTCTCGGGGCTCAAACCTGACGACGTTGCTAACACTGGCCCTAGCAAGGGCCGTGCTTCGCAGAATCTACCACCGGATCGGAAACGCGACCCACTGAGAAGATCCGGCGAGAAACTCAGTGGGCTGTGTCTGAGGGTTAAGCTCAATAGCAATAACTTCGTAGTGGTATTAGATAAAAAGATGTATTATACCATTTTGTAAACTGTATGAACTGCACATTTTTTTAAAATAGCTGGCCACTTACGTTTTCATACTTTTTTTTTACATGAAACACTCTCAAACTATGCCAAAATTATTTTGGTATCAAATTTCATGTCAAAAACTCAAGTTCTTATTTTGTTTTTGAAAAAAGTATCATAGATACTTATATTATTTAATGTATTTCTAGTAGTATAGTCTATCAGGAGTAAGATGACAGCAAAAACGCCACAAATTTCATTACTTTGTGGCCGTTGTGCACATGAATGTAAAGTAAAGTAAAAATAAAGTGTTTTTCTAAAAAAAATCATATTTTGGGTATCATTTGGAATTATTTTTTTTAGATATTTTTTTCTGAGCGCTGGAGAGCTGTCCCGTGTGGGGTTCAAGGATTATCCATTCTTTCTGGGACACCCTGTATATACACATTAAAATTTAATTGCGGCAAGAGCTCCTTCGGATGCTCAAAAATTCACTAGTAGGCCGCGGACAAAAATATAAGGTTGTAAAATAACTACACCATCACACGGGGTCCTTCTAAAAATTGGACCACGGAGATAAACTACAAACAACTTACTATATAGCTATGTACTTTAAGGACTCACCCTTGTTGTCTATGAACAAGAGTAACTCTTACAATACCAACCCTTACCTACTACCCGCCAAATGAGAAAAATGAAAAAACCGTTCAAAGCTTTTGAGTTACTATGTACCTACCTACCTACCTACAGTACCTACCATAGATAGTACACTAAGAAATACCTACATATTCAAAAATCTAATAGAATAAAGGAATTGAAGTTAATGGTCTCCGTCTTTAAAGAAGAAAAGTTTATTTTCCCGAGCTGTCTAATTAAATTTGTAATTTAAAAATGGAAAAAACAACTCCAATCGTGGCTGCAGCAGCTGGTTCAGTTAGAAAAAAGATGGCAAATCGTATAGGTCGTGGAGTACCAGAAGTAACTGACGCTTATTCTAAAAAATGTTCATGTAACAGAGAGAAGGCAACTGTGTTTTGTCGTTCTTGTGGTTTCTATTGCAACGGACGTATTCGATTGAAATGCCAGCAACATCCTCGAGTGAGCATTGTTTATATTTTAAACCCGTGTTGTTTGTAAACGATATCTCCAAGAGTTATGGTAGCCCTGTACTGTCTGTTTCTGTCGCAATCTATTCTATTTGGGAACCTCTATGCTTGAGACGATCTCTTTGCCTTAGGGCCACTCACCACTTGAGCAGAGTTCACCTGGCTTTGAAAACAAATCCCCTCCTCAGAACACTTAAATAAGCCTTTTTTTAATAGCAATATTCCAACTTTGTGCTGTCCTCTCGATGTCTTAAGGCGGGTCATATACCAAAATTAGTGAGTGGGTTACTACACAAAAATAGGATTTTTGTCATTTATACCGAAAGCAATAGATTGATTGTTAATATTTAATTTCGTAGCATACCCTTTTCTATGTAAATGTCATCACTAGGAAAAATTAATCCACAATTTTATTGCAGGTGACCTTTCTGTTAGACATTTCAGAATGTCCAAAATGCCATTCATCTGTATTCCTGGATGAATATAAAACAGGACAATCTTAACTGCAACAAGTTTCTATAACCATTTCTTATGTACTTAATTTTTGATAAAGACACATCTATATTATAGTTACAATATTTTTTGTGTAGTCCGTTAATTTATATTAGTTTAGATCAGTGGTCGGCAACCTTGTCAATCAAAAGAGCCAACTAAGTATAGATAACAAATAATTGAAATTTATTCAAAGCGCAATTTTTTTAACATAACAATATATTTTTATAGTCTTGAGCTTAAAAAAGTTTACTTGGCAATTTGTTTACATCTTACAAGGCAATATCTTAAAGATAATTAGTAATATGTAGTGCTTAAACATTTCGCACAGAACCACATGTTATTGACCACTGGTTTACACCAAAAACAAATCATTCCAACAAAGTTTTAATTATAGTATAGATAATTAAAATTAATGATGGGTAATTTTAGTTTTGGTCATTTAAAATTGAGTTTTAAATGGCCAAAACATTATTTAGATCTTTAGTTCAGAGTTTTTTCTGTGAATGTATATTATATTTAAAACAAAGTTTTTGTTAAAAAACTTTTTTGTTTTAGATCAGTATAGATCATAATAAATGTTCATTGTTTGTGAAATAATAACTTTAACAAAAAATAATGAGTAATTTTGTTAAAGTAGAACTTTATTATCTTTTTAAGAGCTCATACTTTAGTTCAAGAGACTGACTCGTGGTGTAGTAGTTAGAGCCCCCGACTCGCACTGAGGATTGTGGATTCTGTTTCCACATTGTACAACCATTCTTGTGATGAACAGGTTTGTTTGCTTTCTCTAGTTGTTTATGATCTATAAACATAGGGAATCTTAAATTGGGGCCAGATGATTGTTCCCAGTTATTTAGTTATTATTATTGTTATTCTGTATTTCTAGGGTGATTATGAAAATCTGTTTCAATAAAAATTTAAGAGCAATTATTTCATAGTCTATTTATTCCTAATAAAATACAGTTAAACCTTAATTGGTTCTATTTGGACTAATAAAAATTAGTATTTATAAACGATTAGATTGAAAACCAGCTGGGTATATCAGGTCTGCTTTTATTATGATCTATGTACTTTCTGAAATTCTTCTTTGATTCATCTAATGATTTCGCATGTTCCTCTTCCTCATTAATACTTTTCTCAAATAGGTCTGGATACTTAAATGTCATAGTCTTTGGCTGTAAAATATAACGTAACTTTGGTTTTCTTTCCATCAAATTCAAGTCGACTATACTCAAAGTGCAAATTAGTACAAAACTTGTGAGACAGCAGCTACAAGATAGTCAGAGTTTGCTTTCAGAAAGCAATGTGTGTACTTGAATACATCTGCCTTTGTCTGGCCACAAGCTATACATATTTTTTTGACATTACTATGTATTGTTTTTTTTAAATGGCTTGTTGAACAATAAACTTATGCTAACAACTAATTATTGTGCAGTAAAATCACAAAGTGCTCCATAAAATCAAATTCAAATAATCTATTGTGGCCAGTTTGTTTGAACTCATGTAAAATGTGTATTAGGTAATGTTACTTACTAATGTGACAAAAGCAACTTTGACATCATCTTCTTTAATAACATAACCTTTGACAACATCTTTTTTAAATTTCCCCATATTTATTTTGGTCCTCACATCCACAACGGGTACTTCATAAATTTTTTCTAAATAATTTTTAATGTCATATTTAGTCATTTCCATAGAACAATGAAAATGCACGATGTTAGGCAGTTGTTTTGGATGTGGTCGTACTAATTTCATCCAAAAATTCGGCAAAAATACTCTAAGTTGTGGGTTTCCTCTTTGATAAATGGGGTACCTGAGAAAGACTACAATGTTAACTTTGGCCGAAGCGTGTAAATACAAATAATCGTTAATGAAATACTTACCACCGTGTGGACATTATTAAAATTGCTAGTATTAAGCAGAGGATAATACACAATATTAAAATATTTAGCGGATAGGTAATGTTATTCTGTCAGTAGGTATTTTTTAAGGGATTTTATGACCTGGTAACTAAGACCTTTAGGTCAAGTCTTATTTTAATTTTAATGAATTTTTTTTATCTATGAATAATGTTGATGAAAATAAACAGTACACTCTCTTCCAATTTAAACTGTATTTAAACCAGTGTTTTAAAATTTATAAAAAAAATCATTTTCGTCACTCTGTGACCATGTTCTTTGATTCAATGTGTATCTCTAGTAGTTGACGTCACAAAAAAATCAGTTGATAGTTAAGATGGCGGTGGCGCTGTCACCAGAACAAGAGCTGGTGAGTATTTTGATGTTAAATTAAAGTTACATTTGTTAATCATATATGTTTGAGATATATACAGTCTTTTAGATATAACCAGCGTGCGCGAGACACATTGTATGATGAAATAGCTAATTTTAATTGAATGAAATTGAAAAATTGTTCGGTTTACCATGTCATCAATGTTTGTTTTGATTTCTCAAATGTTTCTGTTCCTTATCCATGTAGGTATATCTTGACTACGATGAGCGAATATTAAATACAAGTAAATGTACTACATGCATTCATATTAGATTGGTCAAAGATTTATATCGAAAGGAAGTAGATCACATTATTAAATAGTGTATGATACGACCCCTCCTATTTCCGTCCCTGTTGTGTTTTTAAATATAGAAGAATTGTGTACTACTATCCTTATAGGCGTTGTGTGCTAGTGAAATTATATATTAAACATGTTAAGTATGTTACATGATAAAAAAAGTTTTTTTTGTTTTATAAAAAGCAATCATTGATTGCAATGAACAATTGCTTAAACGCTAGTGCTTGTAGTATGTATTTAAAAAAGTCAAAAACAATGTTATTTCAATACTGAAATACAAATCTCATATTTCTACAGAATAAAAATCCTAAAAAAAGCTAAATTGATGTCATTAATTTTCACCTATACAATATGCTCTTTACACTTTGTAAATTTGAATGGTAAATTACATTAATAATCGCTTTAGCTGGATTTTTTTTACTGTGTACTAAGTAATCAAATATCAATTTAAAATTCATGAAACGAAATTCCAAATGACAAAAAACTTACTTATATTGAAATCTAAACTAAGCTGTTTTAAAGTTCTCATGGCAATATTCATTGTCTATTGACAATAATTGTAGTTGAAGAACATTTGTCAAGAGTGTTTACCATTTATTAAACTAGGCTTTGCTTTGGATAGGTAGTTCATATTTGGGAATCTGCAATGTAAGCTGTAAATAGTTCTACAGGAATACTCATATCAAAGCTCAAATATTCATCTCACAGTTTAGCTGATTTAAACTTCACATCTGTTGAGGTTCCCAGAATCCACTGGATGCAGGCAGCAAAAGACTGGTCATTATAGTGAGACTAGGGGGAGGCCTATGTCCAGCAGTGGATGTCTATGGGCTGAAAGATAGATAGTTGGTCACGTGGTTTTCTTTAAGAGCTCAAGAAAATTTGTTTTGAGAAGATCTTGTTGTCTCATTTTTGCTATAGCACCGCCTGCCTGCCTTTTTTTGAGGACTATTATAAATTAAGAATAAAGAGTTCAGCAGTATGCAACAGATTCATTGTGTCGCTGGAACCAGTTGGAGGAATTGAATTCTGCTGCAAAGCAATAATGAGTTCTGATTTGAAGGATAAGGCAGCTCTTAAGCAAGACATTAACGACTTCAACCTTATGTGCCTAGATGGGTTACAGTATTGCATGGCACTGCGATATCTATGGGCTCCAATAACCACTGAGTACTTGGTAGACTGTATGCTTACCTTGAAAGGTAGTAAAAACATAACAGACTCCTGGTCTTTGAATGTAGACTTCCAATATCTAGATGATAGCTCTTTTAAACACTGTGACTATTGTGTTATAAATCATTTTTATTTGCCATGTCTAGATCATGATACTTTTGTAGTATGTATTAGTTTAATTGGCATATGAGCTCACGGCTCAGGTTAAGTTACTTGCAATCAATGACTAGGAGGAGTAAGTCACAGCAACTCGCATTTTATGTGTAACTACCGACAGATGCATAAAATGAACAAAGAACAGGAAAAGTGATTACCCCCTTTATTTCATAGGACGCCAGTCGGAATTAAGTCTTAGCCATTGGCCTATAGATGTCACAATGGAAATGCAGCCTTCCACCTTCAGACACGAAGTCGAATCCTCATTTGTATTGCATTATTGAGATTTGACACTTTGTTTCTTGGCTAGTAAAATCGCTATAAAAATATTATAAATTAGATACATATATCAATTCAAATGCTAAACCGTATATGTTTCGGCCTCTGTACCGTCATACTTACTTTTGATTTAAAGTCAATCAAACACTCAATGGTGGGTCATGATTATAAATTATAAAGTTAAGTGGGTTGTATGGCTTTGATTTGGACCGGATGCTCGGATCCGTACGGTGCAACGCTCTCGTTCGCCGCTTACTCATTCTGTGTACAGGATTTTCAAAACAACAAAGCCAACGTATCTTTAAATATTTTTAAGATTTTATTAAAACAAGTTTCGTGAAATCTCGAAATTATCCGGTTAGTTTTTGTGGTAAAAGTGCAGTGCAATACAAAATAATTTCTTATAAAACCAATATAGTTGGAACATCCTCACTCTAGTGGTGCTCACACTAGGCAAGTCTGTGTCGTGAACACCCTATATCCGACCCAGGTGACGGGGCAACGCAAAGCCGACGTTGCCCCAGACATGTCAGCATATTCCCCCACTCTCGGTACTTTTAAGCTCTTCAAACACCGGTCACCGTCCACGAACTAACTTATAGACACAGCCCATTGGGTTTTTTGTCGGATCTTCTCAGTGGGTCGCGATTCCGATCCGGTGATAGATTCTGCGAAGCACTGCTCTTGCTAGGGTAAGTGTTAGCAAATTCTCCCAGGTTGAATCCGTGAGCTCACCTATCCGTTCGCGAGAAATAGGAATAGCCCCTTAGGCTACCAGTGAATAGGCAGGGAAAAAAAGTTACCATGATAAAGGATTAATAAGATTAAAAAAGAATTAGTAGCGATTGTTTGTGTTTGTACCTTTGTTTCAGTGCTTAATAATACAATGTTAAATTCATATCAGTTACAACAAGATTTTTATGTTTTCTAGAGATCTCTGGGGTATTCTGGTTACGAAACAGGAATTATTTTTTTATTCTATTGTAGTTAAAATTCTTTTGTAATTTAAGACCTAGCGAAAGGGTCATATGACACGCAGACTTAGGATAAGGACAACGCCCTTTCAAAAGGTTTTTGAAATGAACAAAAGTACATATTAGGTTTTGTTGGCGAATTATAAACAATGGGTTTACAACCATGAAACTTGTCAAACAACTGGCAAGCTTAATTATTTATAAAACGAAAAACAAAACATTGCGAGTATGCAAAAAAAATATGCATTGTGTCACTTTCTTACCCTTGTTATAATATCTTTACAACAGTCACGAATTCTTCTCTTGTATCTCAAATTTAAATTTTGTAATGGTGCAAATTTACTCTATGTAAAGAAAGTATTGACTCTGCAAATCGTAAGTTTTCGCGAATGGAATCAATTCGACTTTTTTGTTTTTATAGCGTAGGCATGTCAAAAAGAACACGGTCTGTATGGTGTTCAATATTTATCGAAACCCATAGGCATAAAAACGCGAATGCGAAGTCTCAGTTATATTGTATAACGGCGATCCTACACTTATGGACAGGTCACGTGTCAAGAGAAGGTAATTTGGACGTAAACCATAATTTGGATGTAAAACATAATGGAGTGACAGCCACGAAATAGGAAGAGGCTGATGAGTTAAAAGATGAAACAAATAATATCAGAAAAGTAGGAGATGCTATCTGGACGAGAAATAATTGTGAGAGTTTTTTTTTGGCCCGGGTGTTGAACCTCATACATAAGGTTTCCCCGTCTTGGAGGCGCGTGGGGTATGTGTGTCTTGACGGTCCGCAGATGTTGGGAGTGGTCCGCGGGCCCAAGGATGTTTTAGGGCCCTACCCATCAAACGACCCCCCTTGCATTCTCTCACCCGACACCCAATCTCCGCCCGGGGTCAGAATCCGGGCAGAGTAAGGGTGAGAGAGTGTTCCCGTGGTTAACACTACAACCAAACTCGTGGCGCCACCCCTAGCTCGCCCGATCAACGGGACGAGATGATGGTCAACGACCAATGACATCGGTCTCTGCTGTACCGCGACACCTCAGGCCGTCCGGGCGGTGGTGATGCTGATGTTCCAGGATACCCCGCTGGGTCAGAACCAGCCTGCTGGGTCGGAGCACGGTACACCGCCGACCGGATTGCTGTAACACAGTACGATCCTCGGCTGGGCGTCGGCGGCGAGAGGGAAGAAGAGCGCTACTACTTCGCCACCTCCTTCCACGAGATGATGGACTCGCAGAAATTGAGCATCGCCTGCCAGGATTTGTTGCTGTCGAGCATCGTAGCCGCGACGGTCGGTAGCGATAGGTTCAGTCCTATCTTCACGACGAGGACGCGGCGCTGCTCCACCCCGAAGACCTAGCCGCGCAGAAAAGATGAGCAGACTCGCGTAAGTCCTTCAGATGTGAGAGGCCTGCATCAATTGATAAGCTGATGATTAGGAAAAATTAAACTTATTTAATATAACTTAAGATTTAAATGTAAAAAAGCGAGTAAAACATTTGTATCTTTATATTTTAGATCAGAAATTAAATGCTGTGTAAATTGTAAAATAATCTCGGTTAGTATAATATACCTAACCACGTGCGCATTTTATAAAAAAATATATCGCCCGGTATCGCTTTACAACATATTTCTAGGAACAGTTGCGTGATGTATCATTCATTGGTTTCCCGTGAATTGATATAGCTCACAGCAGCGAGAGTCGTGTTCAGGTGTCAGTTATTCCACGAAAGTGACGAAACTGTATTACGATGAACATGCGAAATGATCTCCGTCGGCTTCGCAATAAAATTACAATTATGTTTGGGTTGAAATTTGCTCCTTCCTCTCTATCTGTATTTGATTGACAAAGTAGGGTTTCAATACTTCAGCGGAAATTAGATGCCAAATTTGTTCACAATAGCAGTATCAGTTTTGTTCCAAAATCGGAACTCATAGTCTGCGGTTATTATACGAAATTAATTTTCGTCAGTATGAAAACCCTCTATTTTAATAATAGGTAACATAGTATGTTTTTAAGGTACATCGTTATCAATATTATGTTTAACTGAATTAATTTAAGATTTAATTAGTGTTATGTGTGAACTATCGATCTATAATATGATATCGAAGTCTCAAAGATGCTACAATAGCGGTTATCGTGCCCTTCAAAAGCGAACTGAGGTATGTTATTATTCAGTAAAGAGTGCCTTAACTAGGGTATGTTGTTTTATAGTTTATGCCTATAGTATACAACTTTTTTTTTTTTTTTTTATGATTGAAGGATTACTGGTGGCCCGGAGGCCTTTCCAGTTTCACCAGGACAGGTGGGCGAGCAAAGGCTCAGCCAGGAGGGGGAAGTTTTCTTCCCAGGAGCAGTACAAAATGCTCTTACACAGTTTGTGTATGGTATAAGACGAAAGGAAGACTTTCCACCAAGCGGGCGACATTGCTCGATAGACCGACGGTCCAATACATACTATACAACTGAAGCGGGCTGAACTGTATTAAAAACTAGCGACCCGCCCTTACTTCGCTTCGGGAACCGTAATTTATTATTGAACTTATTCTTTTACGCAAATCTGGTCCTGGTCAGTAACAAAGAAAAAATCTAATCTTTCTTCTTCTTCTTATATTAATGGTTCACTATTTTGGCGATAATCTTCTTCTTCTATCTTCTATCTTCTATATATGTATATAAAAATGAATTGCTGTTCGTAAGTCTCGCTAAAACTCGAGAACGGCTGGACGAATTTGGCTAATTTTGGTCTTGAATCATTTGTGGAAGTCCAGAGAAGGTTTAAAAGGTAGATAAATATGCAAATGCTCGGAATGAAATAAATAAATAAATAATAATAATAACGGTTTTTGCGGCGCACGCAAAAATAGCTCGCAAATATATATTTTTTCCTTCTTGACACTTATCGTTATATTTTGGATAATTCAAACTCTATTATTATAAATTATAGCTACAGAATCCACATCCTAAAAAAAGTTTCAAGCTTTTAGCTCTAAAAAGGACGATACTTTTTTTAATTCTTAGATGGGTTGACGAGCTCACGGCCCACCTGATGTTAAGTAGTTACCGGAGCTCATAGACAACTACAACGTAAATGCCGCCGCCTACTTTGAGACATGAGTTCTAAGGTCTCAGTATAGTTACAACGGCTGCCCCACCCTTCAAACCGAAACGCATTACTGCTTCACGGCAGAATTAGGCAGGGTGGTGGTACCGACCAGTGCGGACTCGTAATACGCCCTACCACCAGTCATTACGCTAATTATAATTTTGCGGGTTTGATTTTTATTACACGACGTTATTCCTTCATTGTGGAAGTAAATAACGAATATTTGTTAAGCATGTATTACATTAAAAGAAATTGGTACCCGCCTGCGGGATTCGTCCACGTCTTATCCTTAGGTCACGGTGACTTCATACAACTTTTCATTTCCCTCTTTCAGCCCTTTAGAACCCTTTTTTCGCATTAAAAAGTAGCCTATTATGGTAAAACAGTGTAAAACGAAAACTTATTTGTGCTTGATCTGTAGTATTTTTTATTGCAATTTTTAAACCAAATACGTTTTATACCCAAAAATCAAAATGAAATTTTTAATCCCGACAGTAAATTGGCGGACCACCATCCAAGAAGCCACCGGTAACGAACTCACTCATAAGTTCATAACCCGAATTTTTTCTTACATGTGCAGTGTCATGCGATTCTTTATGAGTATTAACATACATACATTTAATTTAAAACAAAAAAAAAAACGATTGTAAACATAGTTTTCTAGAAAAAAGTCCTGCCAATTAAACGGTATTATTAGAAAACCACAAATATGAAATATTTTCATAGAAATACAAATTATTTTCTTTTATTTTTCTTACAAATAGACATTTAATAGCCAATGTAATATTAATAAAAATAAATGCGGGTAAACATAAAACAATTATGTGAGACGACCGTAATTTATTATTTATGAACTAAATAATGTTCATTGTTCGCTAACAGCAAAATGATCACTAGTCGCTCTTCGATAAATATAATGTGATTTGACAGTTGGATGATGGAGCTGTGACGGTGTGATCGTGCGTGTGGTCGTGTGTATTTAATAAGTGTTCTGCACTCGTGTTTTTACAATATTAACCCGTAATCGATGATTATAGATAAATCGTTAATGCGAAATTTGTTAGGACTGTACAGAGCTTTTCGCATTTAACATTCATAGATGTCGATTATACAACATGTTGTTTGTCCTTATCGATAATTAATAATTTAAATACAATTTTATATTGCTTCGACAGAACAGTTTTTACGTGGTAGTGTTATTACACTCAATATTCATTCAAATTTCGAACTATTATTTTCATTATAATGTAAACAACCATTACAGTTTCACGTGTCCTCTTGTATGTTTACCAAGTAACGTGAGTTCGTTCGGAGCACTAGGAAGCCGTAGCGAGCCGTTTTGATTTTCTACGATACGGTAGTGAGTTCGTGATCGCCCATACTAATGCAAGAGGGGGGCCAGTTGCACAGGAAACACATCCCGGAAGACTCAACATACCGTTCTCCGCAGATTATTGGCATTTACACATATGCGCAGACGGGAATATATATAAAATCCTTTTATCTTTAACATAAATTTGAAGGATGGTGTTCTTCACAATAATATATTATCGAAACTAGACTAGTATCTTTAACATTACATTGGTATAAAATTTTAATCAATTATAGTAAATTTTTAAAGCGGTTTTGGATCATTAATTTCTAACTTTTATCTGATCATAAGTAACTTAGATCTTTGTGTATGTTCTTAAATTGTAATACCATTAATTTAGATGATACCAACTTTAAAATGTAATGTTTTTTTGTTTTTATTCTATTGTTAATTACCATTTACGAGCTAAGATGAGAGTATAGTCTCTGCCACTCCGATAAGAATACCACGTCAAGGATGTTTTAAAATAAGTTCTCAGAGCGGTTCCTTTATGTTTGTTCTGCACGAGTTGTCAATAGCGTACGTCAGTTTCCTTTCGGCCCTCGTCACGTCCTGTCTGTAACTAAATAGAATGCGCATTAAATCATACGATTCAGGTTCGGTTCGGTTAATGTAAACGTCTTTTTATCGGAGTCACGAGAAAAGTGCCGAAGCAGTGAATTTAACGAGTGGAAATGTGCAATACGAAGATTTAAGAATTTGTCATGAAGATGGAAACCGCATTTTTCCGAAGATTGCTTAAATATATAAGGGTACTGGTTATTCTTATTACCCCGTTTATTAATTCTTGATAGATTTTTTTAATTAAATAAATTAAATATTTTGTTTGTTGAAATAAAAGAAAACGTTCATTCCGTCAAGCATATATGTTTCAGAGCAGCGTTTCTAATAAATAATCTAATGACATCTAAAAAAACTTTGTACCCCTTTTTACGAAAATTGCGTGGACGGATGAGTATACCCGTAGTTATAGTTTATATATAGAGAAGGAGTGCAGAATGTGAATATTTTTTTTAAATTATGCATAAGAAATACAATAAATAAATACATAAAACATGACACACACTTACCATGTATTTGACACAACACATACATATAAATATACTATTTGTTTATTGTCAATTGTCAAAACTTTTGTTATTGCATAAAGTCTGGTCAAATTGAGAATAGATTAATATTGTTTGTATTTAATATTATTTATGTATATTGTAATTTTGGCGAAATCTGTGATTATATTGTAGAAGTATAATAGTGTTTGACAATAGAACGATAATAATGTTTAAACATAAAATTTCAATTAATTATAGTCGAATTTCGACTACTGCGGGATCACTAATTTAAGAAATAACATAATGACATTTCAAACAAAAAAACGAGATTAAACCGTGAAAGTAGTTTTAAATAATATGAAATTAACACGTAATTTATGCAGTTTTTAATTGTTGAAATGAGATACAAAATATAAAACTTTTCAGGCGACAAAAACATTTCTGAACGAGCTCAGCGAGACTGGTGCGGGGTGTGTATCACGAGCGACGGCGATCAAGTTTTTGTTGGCGCGCAAGTTCGATGTTGGGAGGGCCCACGCGCTCTGGAGGCAGCATGAGGCCACGCGTCGAAGGGAGGGACTCAACAAGTTTGAACCGTTCGAGGTCCCACTTAAATCAGAACTCGAAACCGGCAAATTTACTATACTGGTGAGTGTTCTGAGAAAGCTTTTTTTATATGCATATAGAATGGCGACGACAAAGTGAAGCAGCAAGGTTTGCCGAGAGTTGTAGTTGGAAGACCATGTAAATGCAAAAAACTATACTTGAGACCTTCGAACTTATATCTCAAGGTGGGTGGCGCATTTACGTTGTAGACGTCTATGGGCTCCAGTAACCACTTAACACCAGGTGGGCTGTGAGCTCGTCCACCCATCTAAGCAATAAAAAAAAAAAATCCTTTGTTGATATTTTCTGGGCAGTAAAGAATTAGGTATTTCGTTTTTACATACCGAAACTTAAATACTTAGCATAGGGCCTACCTGATTATGAGTGGTTACCATCGCTCATGGATAATGCACAGATTCGTACAAATTGGCACCTGTATTGACAGACGTGTACTGTGAGGAACTGAACATAATGATGGAGAACCTCGTGAATCTCCGGTCAAAGCCATGTTAATCTCATCCCTGTTGGTTCTTACACGACAACGCTTAACCTTATACGGCACAACAGACAATCCCCAAACTACAAGAGCTTGAGTTGGAATTGTTTTATCATTTACTGTACTCACCAGACCTTGCGCCGACAGACTTCTATTATTTTTTTAAAGTTTGGACAACTTTATTGCAAGGAAAAAAGCAATACTCGAGAGACAGTACAAAATACCATTGAGGAGTTTTTTGCTCCCGTACACCTGACTTCTTCAAGAATTCCAATGGAAAAATAGAAAGATATGAAAAAAATACTAACTTTCTTTATACTAAACGGTAATTTCTTAGGTTAAGATCTATAAATATAATAATAAACACATGTAAATGTAAGTTTGCAATTCAATCATTAATAAAATTTTATCATTTATTTAATGAAAAATTGTTTAATTCATAGCCAACCAGAGATGCGACCGGTGCTGCCATTGCCGTGTTCACAGCGAACAAACACTTCCCCTCACAGACTACGCATCAAACAACACTACAGGTTTGTATTCGAGCTTTTCTTGCAAGTCCTAAAACCAAATCATCTAGACTATAAAATGCCAACGCATCTTGCCAACGGTTTCTTCGGATATACATGTAAAAAATTGGCGCGTAAGTGAACTGTGTGCTTAGTGCGAGTTTTTTAACGTTCTCGTTAGCGTAAAAGTTAGCTCATATTTGTATGGAATGGGATCGTTTGCCTACGTTTGCCGCTAGGGGCGCTGTTCCAACTGCATACAAAATTGGCCTAACTTTTACGCTATCGAGAACGTTAAAAAACGCACTAAGCACACTGAAGCCGAGCGCGATTCGAGTAGTCGGCCCCCATCGAGCGTTCATGTAGTGTGTCCCGTTGGCGCGCTGGAAAATGTAAAGGACAATGCCCATTTTCTTTGGGCGCTTGGGCCTCTAAAAAAAGTTGTCGTTTCATGATGGTTTTAACTTAATTTTATAGAAAAGAAATATCATTTCATATTCAGAAAACGATTTTTATAATCTCACCCAGGTTTAAGAGAAATCTGTTTTTTTCTGCAGCTAAAATTAAGGTTATGTACCTATATAATAGGTGTTTAATTGTTTTCTTCGAAATCATTAATCGCACTCATAATTAGTTACAGTATTAAATAAGTTAATTGTGGTTAATGTTGCTAGAAAAAAGCCCTTATGTACATTTTATTATTATTATATACATAATATAATAAAATGAAGGTGGTTTCTGAGAATGGACTTCATTGACCCTTCTTTTGGAAATGAAAATCCGGAAGCCAGCAACGATATTATTGTTGTTGTTTTTAAATTCGCCAATAGCAGGCAAAGAGCGTAGCTTATACAGCCTAGTCTATATCTTATTATTGCTTTTGGGAGTTTTGACGTCAACTCGATGAATAGCACATTGACTGAGCCTGAGTTTCCGCAGACCTTTGATCTTGAAAAAAAAAACAGTCACTGCTATTTTAGCCACAGTTTTATTCCAATGCCTCAATAATCGTAAACAACGATTATTGACGTTTAATACACAAAACGACACCCAATTTATATATTATATATACATCACAATAAACTATTAAAAAACATTAAAATAAAACTTCAAGTGAAGCTTCACTCGGGTTGCTGCCAAAACTCTCTGACCATAGATAATAAGAATAAGTAATGGTGGGCCATTGAGATTTTTACTAATGGAATCATTCTGTAATGTCTAAAAATATTAAATAATTCATAGTTTTAAGTAATAATTATTATTACAATATATAAATATTGAATTGAACAAAAATAAACTAAAAAAAGTCTGTGAATTATAACCATTAGCTTTTTTTAATTATTTGTTGTTCATGTCACAAGAACTCTTTCGTTTGGCAACATTTAGGTTTACAATGAGTGGTGGTATGGGCTAAGCCCTTTGTCTGCCTATTGGCGAATTTAAAAACTATGAATGGTGGAAGTACTCAGTTTTCGGATGTTATCAAATAAATAATTTATTTTTTGTAAAACAATGTCAGGTTGAAAGAAATGTGGGTGATAAATAAACCAAACAACGTGAAAAAACAAGGCATAGTTTTTCAAGTATAAATAGTTTTGACACAAAGTTGGCCCATTATTGGGCATTGTCCTTTGGAATTCTTTCAGACCTTTCAGTTACTCATTATAAAGGGGTATTTTTATGTGAATTATATAAAGGTATGATGTTTCTGTATAAGAACATTATTCCTCTTTCCTAACGGATGCTATTGTGAACATTGAATATTTATTATTTGTATCCAAAATTTTATCTGTATAGTTAGCTATGCTCGATAATCATAGAATTCGGATTTTTCATAATAAGATTTATATTTCGTTTCGTTCTCTTCATGCCGAAAAAAAAAGCTTGTGTATATTTAAGTTGTACATTAATTTATCCAATATAGGCCTCTAGCTGTTCCGCTTACAAAAGTATCGTATTAATTATTAAATTAGGAATTTATTTTTTTTAAAAGATTAGATAGTAAAAAGAATTTTTTTGCCTTTGTAGGCTGACCAGCGTACGGCCCACCTGATGGTAATTGGTAACCGTCGCCCATGGACTTCAGCAATGCCAGGAGCAAAGCCAAGCCGCAGCCTACCGATTTTATAGGCTTAGTAATTCAACTAGCCGCAACCGTCGGATTATTACGTTATTGAAATTTTCTACGTGTTGCTCACTGCTTAGAGTAGATTTTTCTCTGTTTTTTTTTATTGCTTAGATGGGTGAACCAGCTCACAGCCCACCTGATGTTAAGTGGTTACTGGAGCCCATAGACATCTACAACGTAAATGCACCACCACCCACCTTGAGATATAAGTTCTAAGGTCTCAAGTATAGTTACAACGGTTGCCCCACCCTTCAAACCGAAATGCATTACTGCTTCACGGCAAAAATAGGCAGTGTGGTGGTACCTACCCGCGTGGACTCACAAGAGGTCCTACCACTAGTAAAAAAGTGTGTTGCCAACTATAGGTATTTTAAAACAGCTTTATCGATTATCTACAGTTTTACTTGCCATCAAATAACGTTCGTTTTGTACCCAACAAAACATAAAGGATTTCATTTGTCTAATAGTTTAATTTGTCCAGGGTGTGGTGTACCAGTTGGACGTGGCCTTACAATCGCTGGAGACTCAGCGAGCCGGCCTGGTCTTCATCTACGACATGACCGACTCCAAATACACCAACTTCGACTACGAGCTGTCGCAGAAAATATTGACTATGTTAAAGGTATGTAATTGTCTGACATTAGACGGAGTAGATTCTGCGGATTGAAATAAAATAGGCTTAGCCGGCCGGTACAATCGTATCAATTACTAGCGACCCGCCCTCGCTTCGCTTCAGAAACTGTAGTTTATTATTGATTTCTCCACTATTTAATGGATGCTATTATACATATAAAACCTTCCGCTTCAATCAATCTATCTATAAAAAAAAAAGTGCGTGCGTACAAAGTACACATGTCAGAAGTGAAACCTTTTTAGCGAACTAAATTATAAGTGTTGCTTATATTTATACAAATCTAAAACTAGATTTCCGAGACTTAGAGGAAGGGAATAAGGAAGATATGTTCCCGCCAAAATTCTGTCAAATGTCAATCTCAAACCTCAGTGTTGACAGTCACATTATGTTTAGATTTCTAAATTGTAAATGACTAATATTTTGCCAATTGAATTGACTAATTTAATTTCATGCTATTTGATTAATGTTCCAAATTCTTTTCATTTCATTTCAATTCCTATTAACATTTTTCACAAAAAAATTATAAAATATTAGGCTGTANCTAATATTTTGCCAATTGAATTGACTAATTTAATTTCATGCTATTTGATTAATGTTCCAAATTCTTTTCATTTCATTTCAATTCCTATTAACATTTTTCACAAAAAAATTATAAAATATTAGGCTGTATGGTATGATACATTTGCCTTTCCAGTTGGAAAAATACAACAACTACTACTACTGACATTTGACAAGTACTTAATTTCAATTCATGACATTCGTTTAGCTTGATTATCAAGGACCGATGACAGCGTAATAATGTTATTGACCAAGCTATGGATGGATACCGTAGACAAAAAAGTACAAAAAAAAAAAATTTTACATCGGTTTTGCTACTCATTAAAGCAGCACCCGTTTTAATTCTTTTTCCAAGTAGATTTATTATTTAATTGGGTCGCGACAAGTTCCATCGATTTATCATACGTCCTTGCGCCAACAAAGCGAACTTCGATTACGTTATAAGGAAAAGTGGGTGCGTAATTGGAACTGTCTTTTTCGTTACGTCGGTAATGAACGACAATTACGTTACGTACCACGTCATGTTCTTCAGCGTTTTTGTTTGTTTGTTTGATAACTTCCCCATCACTAGATTTTTATAAGGATCTTATCATTAATGAACGCGTTTAAATTATTCATACTGTTGTAGATTTGACCGTTGTGGTAGTAGTAGGAGTAAGTACTAATTTATATATATTTTAAACAATCTGTAGTTTAATATTCCACAGCATTGATACTACGGTTTCCCTTGCTATATTTACTATCTGGCTGTTTATTATCTATATATTTAAACGTATATAAGTATGTTTGTTTGTCAGTCTCTGGTACCTATAACACAGGGAATGCTAAATTGGGGCCGGACCGTGCGTGTTTTTTTTCCCAGTTATTTTATTTATTACTAGCCATACTCGCCCGCTTCACTGGGAAGTTAAAATTACCATTATTATTTATTGTCATTATTATTAGTCCAACACTCATATAAATATTAGCCTATCCATTAAGTACATGTATTTTCTACCAAGTTTCAAGTCAATCGGATGCATGGTTTAGTAGTTATAACGGAACATCCGTAAAAACCACTGAAGATTTATATATTAGTATAGATTATTTTAGGGTGTTTATGAAAATCTGTTACAATAAAAAGTTAAGTTATTTAACAACACTAGATCAATCTATATTATAGTGGTAGGGCGTCTTTGAAGCTAGATAGGTTGTCGTCATCTCATACATGCTTCTGCTGCTAAGCAGGCGTGCATTTTGTTTTGAAGGGTGAGAAAGCAGTTGTACTGCACCATTCACCTTTTCTTCATTGGTTAGATGGGAGAACGTGAGTTCATTGACATCATAAAGGGAATGCCGCCATTCATGTCCTGGCGTGAAGTCGGAAGTCGTCGTGGTCTAAAGGACAAAACGTGCGACTCATGTCCTTTATTATAAAAATAATTGTCGTTGCGGCCGAAGCTTATTTATCTTTTCGCATGAAAAGTGTACAATTTCCAAAAATATTCGAAATTGAGTTAATATGCGGAATCATTTGGTATCGCCAGTTTTTTTCTCAAAAATACTGTCCAAAGAGCGTAGTTTAGTTTTTTTTTTAATTGTCTATGTTTTCACTACTATTAACAAAATTAATACATAATTTTATCTTACTTTAAAAGACAGATAATGTAACTAGTAAAAAATTTAAAATAAATGTTACAAAGATGATTAATACTAAAAATATCACATGTTTTAAACCTTTAAAACACTACTCTCCTGTAAAATTAGTAAGTTTTGAGATTATACAGTTTTAATGCGAGAAGACGATATGTAGATACAACATGTTCCGCTTGAACGAGAGCTTAAAGTCTAGACTACTTTGAAATAACAACAAAGGAATGCTATGTAATCCAATTAGCTAACTCATTGAGTATGCCCACCTGATGGTGAGTGGTTACCGTCGCCCATGGACTTCAGCAATGCCAGCGGCAGAGCCATGCCGCTGCCTACTGCTTAATACTCTCCACAAGCCTCTTTTAAAGAAAGACATGTCATAGCGCTCAGGAAACACCATGGAGGGGAGCTCATTCCATAGCCGGATGGTCCGTGGCATAAAAACCTCTGGAAACGCACTGTCGATGACCGCAGTGGCTCCAGGTAGAAAATGTTTGCATAAGAGTTAGTGTATTGCGCAAACGAACGCTCTGAGATCGTGGTCAGTGAATGATAAAAAAAATGTTATTTTTTGTACGTGATTACAAAGTTAAGTCGTACACTGTGCATTACTAAAAATCTTACGTTACGGACGTTTTTTCCAGGTTAGGGTACCCCTCCGCATCGTCCCATAAGGGACTTCGTTCCAATAATATTTGTAGGCCCAAAGAATGTTATAATAAAAAGCATAAATTATCGCGTAAATAACGTTCCGCTCTTCCTAACCAGCATTTCGTTGTAACGCGTTTTTCGTTTATGCCGAAGTGAAGAAGTCTGTTGACTTATTGAGTTTCGGTACAGGTTCGCGAAAAAATTGGACAAGTACGAGTGGAACTGATGGTTTTGGGTGTAAGCTGTGCTTCATTGTAAATAAGACGAGGCTATGTAACCGGGCCAAACTAATCTTGTTCATGTAGTGTATGCTATGAACGAATACATATATACTTAGTCTGGCCATAAATACTGTTACAATTAAAAATAAACAAAATATTACATTTGAATTTGGAATCTGTCATTTGTCTATGATTGCTCATTGAGTTTTCTCATTTTGGCTCTAATACATTGTACAATATTTTGCGATATTAAAATGGAGTGGGGTGATAAAGAGAACCGAATCGCTGTGATTGCATTACACAAAGTAGGTATGGAGCCAAATGCAATTTTTAAAACTCTCCATACGCTTGGTATTAGTAAAATGTTTATGTACCGGGCTATTACTAGGTGCAATGAGATCTCCTCTGCTTGTGACAGAAAAAGATCTGGCCGTCCACGTAGTGTTCGTACGAAAAAGGTGGTCAAAGCAGTAAGGGAAAGAATTCGAAGAAATCGTGTCCGAAAGCAAAAGATTTTATCTCGGGAGATGAAGATAGCACCTAGAACCATGTCGCGTATTTTAAAAGATGACTTAGGACTTGCAGCCTATAAGAGACGTACTGCTCATTTCTTAACTGATAATTTAAAAGAGATAGGGTGGTAAAATCGAAACAACTACTGAAGCGGTACGCAAAAGGAGGTCATAGAAATTTTTTGTTTACGGATAAGAATTTTTTTAAAATTGTGCAGCATTTTAACAAACAAAATGACCGTATTTATGCTCAAAGCTCTAAGGAAGCTTCCCAATTAGTCGACAGAGTGCAACGTGGGCACTATCCGACTTCAGTGATGGTTTGGTGGGGTATTAGCTATGAAGGAGTGACTGAGCCATACTTTTGTGAAAAAGGTATCAAAACATCGGCACAAGTGTATCAAGATACCATTCTTGAGANGCATTTTAACAAACAAAATGACCGTATTTATGCTCAAAGCTCTAAGGAAGCTTCCCAATTAGTCGACAGAGTGCAACGTGGGCACTATCCGACTTCAGTGATGGTTTGGTGGGGTATTAGCTATGAAGGAGTGACTGAGCCATACTTTTGTGAAAAAGGTATCAAAACATCGGCACAAGTGTATCAAGATACCATTCTTGAGAAGTTAGTGAAGCCCCTTAACAACACCGTGTTCAATAATCAAGAATGGTCCTTCCAGCAAGACTCGGCGCCAGGTCATAAAGCTCGGTCTACGCAGTCTTGGTTGGAAACAAACGTTTCGGACTTCATCAGAGCTGAAGACTGGTCGTTCTCTAGTCCCGATCTTAATCCGCTGGATTATGATTTATGGTCAGTTTTAGAGAGTGCGGCCTGCTCTAAACGCCATGATAATTTGGAGTCCCTAAAACAATCCGTACGATTGGCAGTGAAAAACTTTCCCATGGAAAGAGTGCGTGCTTCTATTGATAACTGGCCTCAACGTTTAAAGGACTGTATTGCAGCCAATGGAGACCACTTCGAATAAGCTTTTTATACTTTAAACTGTTTTATATTTATGTATTAAACTAACACACTGTAAAAGTAATAAATGTTATTTGCAATAGAATTTTTGTTATTTTTTATTGTAACAGTATTTATGGCCAGACTAAGTATATGCACACAATACAATAAACTTAATCCTTATTTTTGAATACTACTACAAGTTTTGACTCCTTTGCCTGTCTAGTTGACTGAACAAAAGCAAAAAACAACTTATACAGGGTAATAACACGTTATACTAAATTCAGCGACTTATTGGCGAAAACGTGAGGAGCTAAGTTGTGTGTGTTTTGTTATTTTTTTTTTATTTGGTGTTTCTTCAGGATTAAACTATTATCAACGGTTTGTCGACGATATCTGTGAAAGTGCACAAATATGTGAAAATGAAACATAGACGCTGGACGTGATCTGGAG